ATTTTGCAGGGAAAGGGAGGGCTTGATGCTCTGGCATTTCAACGTAGGGGCTTGGTCCTTTCTATCAACGTGCCCCGTTTTCTGGGTTCCTAAAGCAGAGCTCAGCTTGACTACACTATAGCGAGTGCTGCAAGCAGTTGCTCACAAACCGCAGGAGCTGAGGCTTTTGAGGATCCAAAAAGTCGATCCCTTAATGGGGGTTCCTTGTAAGGTTCCCTTTAAGGGATCTATAGGTTTTGAGGGTTTAGGGTAGATCCCTTAATGGGGGTTCCTAGAAAATACCCTTAGAAGTATAAGGCCCCCAATTAGGGGATCTACTTTCTAGATCCTCCCGGGGGTCTGGGTACATGTTACAGTAAAAGCCAGAAAGTTGGAATATGATTATCCTAAACCCTTTATGGTAAATTATAGGGTATCCTACCCTGAAACCATATTCCAACTTTCTGGAGTTCCCTTTACACCAAACGGGTCAAAACCCATACCTCCGGGCCAAGCTTAGTCTTGGCCCATCTTGCTCCAGGATGTCTTGCAAGCACCTTCTTGCTTCTAACAATGCTTGCACCATCTTTGCTTTGGCATGGAATGAATGCATTGTCTGGCAAATTTCAGGAATGTGAAGCTTATGGCTCAGCCATGCGGTGTATGGACTGCCGGGTTTAAGGTTTAAAATCGATTGAAGGGGGACCGTAATTTAGAGAACTACCCATATGCCAGCGGTATTGGTATTCCCTTTCATAACAGCACACTACGCATCTCAAGAGGTATTGTCATAGCCCACGACAACACCCAAACTGCACACCCTCCCACCATCACTCGTAAGGAGCTGTATATACCTTCATGAAACCCGCCACCCGAAAGCATAACCTCTGAAGCCTAAATTATATATGAAAGAAACCGAGAAACCCTAAACCCCTAAACCCCTTAAGCCTAAACTTCCACACCCCTAAACCCCTAAACCCGACCCTAAACCCTAACCGAACCTCTGAAGCCCAAATTACAAAGTATGAAAGAAACCCCAAACCCTAAACTCTAAACCCCTAAACCCTAAACCTAAGCATACCGAGGTGGTGGCCATAGAGACGAAGTTTCGCGCAGGGCATGCAACAAATTCAATGCTATGCCGAAGCTGTGCCAAGCCGGGTTTAGTGTTCGGTTGAGTAGACTTAGACCCTAAGGGTGCCTTCAAGGGTTCTATGGGGTTTAGGGGTTTATGGGTCCCCAAATAGTAAATACATTGGCCTTAAAGTCGATCCTATTTGAATACTTTAGGGCCAACGTGAGAATATACTATTTGGGTACGTGGACCCTTAGGGAAACATTCGCAGGATAGACCAATCCGTACATACTAAGATATTGGATTTGCCCCCCTTGCAAGACCATACTTCTTACAGGCCTTCCATCATAAGCCTACCCAGAGATCCCAATACCCCTCATAATTAAGGAATATACCTTAAATCTTAATATCAAGGCCCCTATTATTTAAGGTATATTCCTTAACTAAGGGGTATTGGATTCTCTGGGTACTTAAACCCTGAGTGCGGTCCTAAACGCTAAATCCGAAGCCGAATAGTTCAGACTCAAGCTTGGGTCACCCAAACCCTAAACACTCAACCCTAAATCCGGAACCGTAAACCCTAAACCATAGACTGCACAGCAGCTACTGTTGGGACGAGCCCTACGAGCCAAGAAGGCGGAGCAGCAGAAAGCTAACTTTCGACTTAGGATTGCAGGGTCTGAAACTATACCCCCTGGAACCATAATGACAACCACATTTTGAATGTTCTCTTGGGTTTTAGATGAAAAAACATAATTCCTAAGGAAACAATAAGTCTGGCGGTTGGATGCTTTCAGGGGTCGTCGCATGGACAACTACTAGGCCAGCATGTGGTATAATAACGATTTGAAGCACACAAAAGATTGACGAACCATCTGGAGGACGAGTGACTTCGAACTGTCTAGATGAAACGGATCCTTGTGATAGTCCCTTAAGGTCCCAGTCGATGACAAAGTATGTCGGCGAGATGCGGAATTACTCAACCAAGGGCGGGCCTCAGGACCAGTGCTGGTAGTACTCGTACGACTATTATCATTGATATTAATACATTTTTGTTATTTGTAGTAGTAGTGGTGATGCGCGGCAACAGAAAACACAGCAAACCTTGTTACTACTTCTCCTAAAGCCTTCGAGCGGCAACCACAACAGTAGGCAACCTGACACTCCACGTATTGATCAAATAGAGTCGATACACTTGCCATCGGGAGACCAGTGATGACCATAAGATTTTCACCAGCTGAAGAGGAACCAGAGACTAGTGACTAGTATTCAGGCCCCTATATTCGACGCTAGCTGCTACAGCCTTCAGCCCATCAACATGTCAGGCTGTGCCCACATCGCCATCGCTGGCCGGCGACAACAGACGGTCCGCCTTTCAAGCTTAGGATTCACGATTTCGGGGGGTGTAAGGGTTACCTAAACCCTACCTACAAACCCTCCCTTTTTGGGGGCTCCTAATTATGATTTCCTTAAAACATACTGAAGAAGGCAGGTTATTTCGGCTCCAGGTGCAGGTAGGGTTGAAGGTTTAGAGCTTACCCCAAGGCTCCATGTGCCCCTGTATAGGAGGCACTTAGGCCTTAAAATACCTATATTATAGGGACCCCTTTAAGGTATAAGTACCTAGTATGTGGGTGCATGGAGCCTTTGGGTTACATGATACCTGACTTTGCTTCGGTCACTTTCATGGACCATTGCTAAGCTACAGGGATACTAACGCCGACAAGAACCATTCAGGATGGTATATGCCTTATTGTCATGTGGGTAATGCAGGATTTATATCATCGACCGTAAGACAGGACGTAAGGTATAGTGGAGATGATGGTGATGATGGTGATGATGGTGCTGAGAATAAACGTAGTCATGGTCAGCCACATCATCCTAATCGCTGGCCGTGAGCATGTTCTTGATGGCGGCGGTGTCAACCAAATTATAATGACTACGATAAGAAGGAGGACAGCACAACACAAACCCTGTACGACAACGAGCATGAGGACGGGGCTCATACGGAGATAATATCCAGGCAACAGCTTTAGATGCCACGACTCCCTAAAATCAACATGACCACTCTGAGATAGTATATGCTGCAGCAAATACTATGAGGAAACCCTCGCAGGCCCCACTTATAATGTAGAGACCTCGACATGTCGGTGAAGTCTCGCTGCAAGAGCCGCAGGAATAGTGTTTCCAAATAATTGAACTCAGACCTCTGCAGTATGCCGGCAGCCTTCAACCCTCTAAGTCTTATCATGATGTACTAGCTTCTACTATACTCTACCCTACTATACTATACTATTCTATACGACACGATACGAGACTCTACTTTACTATGCTATACCATATTAAGCTGGGCTACACTATACTATAGTCTACTCAACTCTACTACCAAGCCCCCGAACATAAACCACCCCCGCGTGCAGCTCCTTTCTCTCAGCACGAAATCGCCACTCTGTCAGACTATTCGGGCTGTCGGGTGCTTCAGACTCCCGCTTTGGGTTTCTTGGTGTTAAGAGTCTTCGGTTCTATGTGTGTAGCTGTGTGTGTGTGTGTGTTTGAGGGGAGTTTGAAGTTCTACATGTGTAGGGTGCGTGAACCCCAAATGGTTCTCTGAGGATTAGCAGAGGGTATCTATCCTTTGGTTCTAGACCTCGCCTCAGAGTGATAGACTACTTAACCCTGTGAGGGATCGGTTGAAGATCCTAGGAGCTTCGGCCAAAGTGAACCAAGCAGTACACCCTACCTGTTTCGGGTGCGGGGATCAGGATGGACTGCTGAAATCCGCAGAGATCCCAATATCCCTCAATTAAGGAATATACTTTAAATCGCAATATTCAGCGACCAAAAGTTACATAAGTAGTAGTCTTAACCATAAGAATAGCAACTTCAATATCCCTGAGATTGCAAGATAGATAAGATAGACAGATAGACAGATTGACAGATAGGCAGATGGATAGATAGACAGATAGGTAGATAGGTAGATAGATACAAATATTGGACAAATAGACATAAGCAGATAAATCGAAAATAGATAAATTCTCAGAAAAAACGAATATATATATATATATATATATATATATATATACATATACATATATATATATATATACACATACATATGTATATATGTGTGTGTGTGCGCATGTAAAATAGACACGTACACATACATGCCTCAAGCGGCTTATTATATAGATTACTGTAATTAGAAATGCCCACATGTTAGCTGTCAGGTACCGAGCCGAGTCTGTGGCACATCAAAGAACCCGAAAGCATCAGGCAGTCGGGCAGAGCCTGTGAGCTACGGTGCGGTTTAGGGTTTAGGGTTTAGGGTTATGGCTTCGGTGTAGGGTTTAGGGGTTTAGGGTTGTGCTATCAGGCTTCTTTGGAATGAGGCAGAGCAGACGCCTAGCGCAAGACGCGAGGATGCACACGACCATGCAGTTGCCTGTCATACTTGAAAGCCTCCAACGCACGAAGTCGGTGTCTTAGATCGCTTCGGTTTGGGGGCACCGGATGCAGAGAGGGGGGCCCTTTGGATATGAAGCCACCTCCCAGTTCTACGGCCTTAGCACTTGCATCGCACCTGGAGATTTGGCTTTGACCGTCTACGTTCACTAGAGTGAACCTGCAGATACCTGCTAAGGCCAGGGTGGCTTGTACCAAAGCTGAGCTTGCAGTTGTACAAGTTCGAAGACACTAGCCGGAAGGGCTGAGGGTTTGGGACCTTTGAGGGAGCACGGCTTAAGCGAGGCTACTTTAAGCAGAAACATAAAATTCAGCACTTCTCTTGGCGTGTTGCAAGGGTCCGGAGTTACTGATCCACTCTGAGGCAGGCCTCAGGTCCCCCCGGCTGATGGTAGGCCATACGCCCTAGGAGCCTTACGAATGTCCGAGCACTGCCTGCATCCCGGCACGCATACCACATTGCCACAGTGGGCTCATCAGGTCATCACCACAGTGCACCGCACCTTCAGGTGCTGCAGATGGGATATGAACCATGATTAGACTATGGACTGTGCTAGCTTCGGTTGTCGTTTAAGGCTGGTGTTGTTGATTCCAATCCCCAGATGGTTTAAAGTTTTTCGCTGGAGGCATTGGATCACCTTTCCGGTTTAGGCCCTGTTTAGGCACATATCCATGCGTCCACCATCCAAGAAATCCAAATCTAAAGGTTCATATTTAATGTCCCGAGCGTCCTCCCGTTTCCGGGAAGCCTGACTTTTTGAGACATTTCGAGCGACAGTTAAGTTAATACAGGGCGCCAGAGGCTTGCTCGGTGGTGGTACTAACACTGCTGCCACCAAAAGCATGCATTACTACAGCAATAGGAGCAAGCAAGAAGTAGTCGTCGTAGTGGCAGACGTAGTGGTGGTCGTTGATACTTGTACTTGTCACAATCATCGTAGTTGTCCTAATTGTAAAGAGTGGTAGCAGCATCAGCAGCACCAGCAGCAGTAGACGCTTCGGTAGTTGCGTAGAGCCTACGCCATGCAATTAATAGATATACGGGCCTTAATGATTACAACAGGGGTTTGGGTGCCATTATACTACATATACTTATAATACGTAAAAGGAGTATAATGCAATTTGGGCACATGGACCCGTAGGGATTAACGAGCCTTTAAGCTGAAACCTTCCTTCTTCGAGCCTGTACAGTACCCAACGAAAGGCCCCTATACATCCCTTTATAAGAAACGGTCGTCTGGCCCCTATACATCCTCTGGCCCCTATACAACCCCTTACAAAATGGCAGCCCCTATAAATCTCTTGGGCCGCGTACACACGCCCTTTTTAAGCGGTCATCCCCTGTGGGGCCTGTCAGCTTTGAATAGGTCGGAGGACTGCTTGAAGCCAACACTCTTGCCACCGCTCTGTGAGGGCGGCCTGAGGAGCTTCTTTTCTGGGCTTTCCAGGGTTTTGGGGTTGGGGTTTAGGGAGGTTTACCCAGAGGCCCCAAAGTACTTCCTTTGTGGGATTACCCTATAGGATTCTATATATGAACAACAAAAAGGACCTACTCTGGGGCCTTTGGTTTAGAGGTTAAGGGTTTTGAGGTTTAAGGTCCGGGATTTGGAGCTTTGGGGTTCGAGGATTAGGGTCCAGGGTTTAGAGGTTTAGGGTTTAGGGCTTTAGGGCCTGGGGCTTAGGGTTTGTTGTAGAAGGCTCATAGGCGAAAGTATCTTGTGACAGTGCAATTTCGAGTGCATCGTAGTATGACGATTGGCCGCTGGAGCCCGATTGCGAAGGGGTGTTTTGATTTGTCTCGCCCACCCCGTCGTCCGGGGCGGCCAAGCCAACAAAACATATTCCTTTCAGGGTTTAGCTCTAAGCTCTAAACTGTCTAAACCCATTACATAAGCAGGGTTGGATCAGGGCGTCAACGGATCTTACAAGGTGTTGGACAGGTGTTGTATCAAGGTTTGTTAAGTTTGGGAGGGGGGCCGCCTGCCATGTTTAAGCGTTTCGGGTTTAGGGGTTTTTCGCCGAAGCTGATAGATGGTGGTGTCTAGAGCTCTGGGGTTTACTGCTTCGAGCTTTATTGAGGGTCCCCTGCTTTCCGAAACCCCACGGATCGCTTGTAGAACTCCTGCAGAACATTTATAGTAGCTGCTCCTGAACAGCACCATAAAAGAAATGCAGCCCGGAGATCACTGCGAAAAGCCGCTGCCCCCTTAACAAGAAACAAGATGAACATGAACAAACAACACAATACAACAACACAAAAACTATAGGCTTTGCTGTTAGAAGCCTAAAAAACCCCATAAAGGGCCTTCAACTTCGCTAAAAAGCCATCAAAAACCCATAAAAGAATCCCTTTCAGGGTTCCTTGGTGGAATCCCTTAGTTGGGTTCCTTCTTCGGTTCCTTAAAGGGTTCCTTTCGGATCCCTCACAGGCCCACCGTTTAAAAACAGGCCAACCCTAAACCCTAAAGGCACAGGAAGGCCTCCACGCGCCGCTCTCCATGGTAGTCTCGAAGGAGCTGCTGTCGTGAGAGAGCTTGCCTGGGGTCTAAGGGTTCCTTTATCGGATAGATCTTTAAGGGTACTGTAAGGGGTTTAGGGCGTAGGGTTTTAAGGCTGGGGGTTTCTTTTGGGTTTGGGGGTTTTGGGTGTATGTACGGTTGAAGGTTTGGGGCTGCTGTCGTGAGAGAGCTTGCCTGGGGTTTCTTACTTGTCGGGTATCATGGGGAACTGAAGATTAACCTTTCCTTCCGGAAGCTCTGAAACTCCACTAGCCCAAAATTTGTAAAAAGGACCCTGAACGGGACCCTAGTTTAGAGAACTACCGAAATCCAGAAACCCTAAGAGCCTACATGCGTAAGGGTTTTGGAGTGGATGTGAGAGTTTTGGGTTTCGGAGTGCATTCAGAGCTGAAGAGCACAAACCTAAACCCTGAACAGAATACAATCGTTCAGGCTTGAACTCTCGGCCGCCACTAAAGTGCGCACACTAAGCCCTTCATCTCATTAAGAGGTTTACGAGCCCCGCTGGAACCCCTTGCAGCAGTCTGGAGATGGTTCATGCTGCCTGCCTTGCCTACCCAAACCCCCAGGAGGATCCAAAAAGTAGATCCCTTAATGGGGGTCCTATAAAGTACCCTTAGTAGTATAGGTAGGGCCCATATTAGTCTTTCTAAATCTTCCCGGGTCTGCGTAAGGGGTCCATGTGCCAATATAGCACACACTCTGGCCCTTGAACTACCTCAACAGAACCCCCTCCCCACCCCAAAGAAGCCCTAATTCTCTACACCGGTACCTGGGTCTCAAAGGCCGACCCCCGGGAGGATCTAGAAAGTAGATTCCCTAATTTGGGGCCCTATACTACTAAGGGTACTTTATAGGGGGTGCCCGATCACTTCTGTCTTTTTTTTGGGTTCACTTGTGTCTTTATTTTTGGGGTCGCTTGTGTCTTTGTTTTCGGGGTCGCTTCTGTCTTTTTCCTTCTTCGGAAGCAACAGTCTCGAACGAGAGGTGCCTTGGTTTCAGGCTCGGTATACATAAAGTACAAAGGCAATTAGCTTGCTCCCTTTCTGCGTCCACATGCACATAGACATGCATGCGTACTCTACGAGGGGGTGTCTAAACATGTGTAGATATTTATTGTATATTACACATTGTACGCATATACGCATACCTATATGTAAACATATACGTACACAAAAACACATGCAATTAGCATATACAGTTTACTCCTTTTAGGGTTTCGTTCTGGGTTTACTCCTCTTAGGGCTTGGGCCTTCTTTCATTAGGGTTTCGTTCTGGGTTTACTCTTTTGAGGGTTTCGTTCTGGGTTTACTCCTCTTGGGGGTTGGGCCTTCGGGTTAGGCCCTCTTTCATTAGGGTTTCGTTCTGGGTTTACTCTTTTAGGGTTTCGTTCTGGGTTTACTCCTCTTAGGGGTTGGGCCTTCTTTCATTAGGGTTTCGTTCTGGGTTTACTCCTTTCAAAATTTAGGGTTTCGTTCTGGGTTTACTCCTGTTAGGGTTTCGTTCCGGGTTTACTACTCTTAGGGGTTGGGCCTTCTTTCATTAGGGTTTCGTTCTGGGTTTACTCTTTTTAGGGTTTCGTTCTGGGATTACTCCTCTTAGGGGTTGGGCCGATTACTCCTCTTAGGGGTTGGGCCTTCTTTCATTAAGGTTTCGTTCTGGGTTTACTCTTTTAGGGTTTGGTTCTGGGTTTACCCCTCTTAGGGGTTGGGCCTTCTTTCATTAGGGTTTCGTTCTGGGTTTACTCCTTTTAAGGTCTCGTTCTGGGTTTACTCCTCTTAGGGGTTGGGCCTTCTTTCATTAGGGTTTCGTTCTGGGTTTACTCTTTTTAGGGTTTCGTTCTGGGTTTACTCCTCTTAGGGGTTGGGCCGATTACTCCTCTTAGGGGTTGGGCCTTCTTTCATTAGGGTTTCGTTCTGGGTTTACCCCTCTTAGGGGTAGGGCCTTGTTTCATCAGGGTTTCGTTCGGGGTCAGGTCCTACCAAGGCACCTCTCGTTCGAGACAATTGCTTCCGAAGCCAATAAAAGACACAAGTGACCCCCCAAACAAAAACACAAGTGACCCCAAAAAAAAGACACAAGTGACCCCCCTTCCCTTTGTAGGAACCCCCATTAAGGTATCTACCCTAAAACCTAAACCCGAAAACCCTACAGATCCCATAAAGGGACCCTTAAAAGGAACCCTCATTAAGGGATCTACTTTTGGATCCTCAAAAGGGGGTCTGGGTAGCTACCAGCTCCAATCGAACCGACGCATGGCTTGGCTCTGCGCATTTCGGCCCCCACTTGCACTGGCCGCGCCTGCCGGGGTCTTCGAGTTGGGGACATTAGGGTTTAGGGTTGAGATTTAGGGTTTAAGGTTCAGCAGCTCCGGATCGAGCAGTTTTACAGTAAAGCAGTGTTTATGGTTTAGAAAGAACACCCACCCACCTTTAGAATCCCATAACATTTGGAGGATACAAAGTGTCACTTCATTCACAGCTTAACACTACTATCACCGAACGTTACACAACATTAACAGAATGAACATAAATAAACGCAAGCTTCAAAAACTCGCTGTCGATGTTCAGAAGGAAGATGCCCGTTACGTACTCGTCTTCGGAAGATACATCAAAATCATACAGAAACTACACAACAGCCATATGTCTTGCTTGCATTACTATTTTGTTGAGAGCAGCAGCTGTCGCTCATGATGAAGGCTCGGCAGAGGCGAGATGCAAGTCATGACGCTCACTGCTCATCTCCAAGCAGCTTCCACTGGCGAAGGCGATTTCAAGTCACTTACTGCACGAAGTTGCCAGACATTTGAAAGTCTCCCGTCCCAAAAGTGATCGGTTTCAAGCTCCAAAAAGTGGTACCGAACACCCTCCAAAAAGTGGCGCCGGACGCGGTCCCGGCCGTTTGTGTGCATTTAGCGAAAATGAGTGGTAATTTGGCGATTTCCTTGGTCACGGACCCGAAAATTAGTGGCAATTTGGCGAAAACTAATAGCAATTTGGCGATTTCCTTGGCCCGAAAATCGCCATTTTGCCACTAACACGAAAATTAGTGGCAATTGGCGTAAATGCGTAAATTAATGGCAATTTGGCGAAAATTAGTGGCAATTTTGAGGTTTACGGTTTAGGGTTGAGGTTTAGTTTTTTGGTTTAGGGTTGAGGTTTAGGGTTGAGGTTTAGGGTTTAGGGTCGAGGTTTAGGGTTGAGATTTAGGGCATAGGGTTGAGGTTTAGGGTTAAGGCTAAGGTTTAGGGTTTGGGGTTGAGGTTTGGGGTTTGGGTTTGAGGTTTAGGGTTGAGGTTTAGGGTTGAGGCTTAGGGTTTAGGGTTGAGGTTTAGGGTTTAACCCTCAAGTGTGGCCTTGAACATCCTGATTACCCAGAGACTCCAATGTCCCTGAATCAAGAGATACTCCTTAAGTCATATCAGGGATCCTACTAGAATTTAAGGTATAATATATTCCTTAATCAACGCATCTTGGAGTCTCTGGGTACTACCTACAGTAACGAAAAGTCACGACTCGCCGAAGGGCAGATCAGCAGGTGCGGCCCACGATCCGTCAGGTTCGGGGGCCTGGAGTACGGGCTCGGCTGTGATCTTTCCACTGAGGTTGGACCTGACCACCAGTCCACCACCCAGTGGAAGCAGGTTGTGGATGTCCGGCGGTCGGTCGTTCCATCGGAGACGGCGTCGGTGACTATGCCACGAAGGGCAAGTTGGTGCTCCACATCACGCAGCAACTCTCCGTAAAGGCTTTGTGCCCAAAAGCCTTACCGTGTGAGTGCTCATAGCCTTGCTGCACGCTAACCCTGGAAAGCTGCTCTTCACACACTTCTCGGATTGGAGTGGGCAACGGACAGAGTCGCCCTAAGCCTTTAGGGCCCTGGCCACAAGCCAAATTTGCACATAGACTCTCGAATCTTACACCCTGCACCTAAGTAAGCCCCACAATGTTGAGCCGAACAGCAATAATAATAACCCCCTTAGACCCATACAGCAACAGCATTTGTAAGAGCTCCATTGGGGTGCCAGACCACCAACTACCCTCTGCTTACATGCCCGAGATTTAAAACACGAGGCCCCGGGCAAACAAAATCGAACCGCAAACCCTGAACTGTTGACTCTAACCCAAGTAACCCTAAACCCTCAACCCCTCACCCTGACGCCCTAAACTCTAACTCTAAACCCTACAGTACCCCTCGTAGAATCGCAGTGACAAGGCCCTCAAGAAAGTCTAGTAGACTCCACAGAGCAGCCCTAAACCCACACAGAGAAACCCCAAACCCCAAAGCCCCTTCACCATCCTACACCCCCATAACTATAACCCTAAACCCTTATAACCCCTAATAGAACCTAAAACCCCTAGAACCCCTAATAGAACCTTAAACCGCCAGAACCCTAAACCCTTATAACCCCTAATAGAACCTAAAACCCCTAGAACACTAAACCCTTATAACCCCTAATAGAACCTTAACCCCCCAGAACCCTAAACCCTTAAACCCGTAGTAGAACCGTAAACCCCTAGAACCCTAAACCCTTAAACCCTAAACCTTGCGACCAGCAAAGGTCTGAGGTCCGGACCAGAACATGGGACATGCTTGCCTCCGATCGGAGCCAGGGCCCACCACATTCCTTTGGGGCTTTAGGGGTTTAGGGGTTTAAGGGTTTCGGGGTTAGGGGTTTAGGGTTTAGGGATTTAAGGGTTTCGGGGTTTAGGGTTGTAGGCGGTAGGGTCGAGCTCTCTAAGGATTATGGCGTTTTGAAGCGGGCTTTGTAGGATTTTCATGGGGCTTCAGGGCGTGGAGTTCACCCTAAGGGTCCATTCGCGCAACTAGTAGACACTTCTGGCCCAGTGTACCTTTCTGGGAGTACTTTAAGGCCAATGTATTCACTACATGGGTGGTTGTCAAAATTATGGTTCCTTGCTTGGGTACCCTACGTATTCGGTGCCGTATTATATTATAGGGACCTAAAAAGGTACCCGGACCCTACTTTTGACAGCCACCCATATGAGTGCATGGACCCTTCTGCAGAGCCTCGGAGAGCGGCAGCTCGTGATCTTCTGGTGGCCCGGTAACACGGATCTGCAAGGGCTCCCTTAAGAGAACTATGGAGGTTCTATAAGGGTTTCTTTGAAAGAACTATAGGGTTCTATCAGAGCCCCCTAAGTAACTAAAATAGGATACTGCGTTATTGTGCCAGAAAAGCTAAAACAGGATCAGATCAGAGAGCAGTAGCACACTCTGTAGCTAGCTTCTAGATCACTTTTGTGGTCACCTGAATATATGCTCATGAACTGTAGGTTCTGCGCAAGGAGGCTAGCTAGGAAGTACCCCTACAACTGAAAGTCCTGCATTTCTAAGTTTCAATATTGTATGTAACCACCGACACCTTTAATCCTCTTCAAGCATCCCGCGCTACGTAGCAATGAACATAGCCTAGTGCAAGGGTACGAAACCCTAAACCCACGGCTTGGGAAGACGATGATGGGGATTACCGAAGGCCTGGTCCAGTAGCCTTTGGGTTTAAGACCCCGTGATTGTAAAGGCTGTATAGTTGGATATAGAGGTCACGGTCTAGATTTGTTCGTGCTGTAACTAGACGCTTTAAAAAATCGAAAACCTGGCAGAACCCTTGCACAACCCGGAAAGACTCTTTAAAGCAACCTTAAACAGGCTGTAGGCACCGGGTTTAGGTTTTGGAGGTTTGGGGCGTCCAAGCCATAAACCATAAACGCACGCTGGTGTGTCGGCTTCACATTATGCTGAGGGCGGGTCCGAAGAATTCGCACGAAGCTATCGGACGGATTGTGGTTTACCTGAGCATATTTCTTAATATTAAGGTTCAGGGCTCAAGGCTGAGAGTTTAGGGCGTGAGAGCTACAGACGTTTCAGCCGAGCTCATGGCTTCAGGGCTTCGGTTGTAATTTGTTTATTAGGGTGTACTGGTGAAGGGTGTGCACTTTCCGGCACTATACGCCGCAACTCCAATGTCGATATGGCTCAAGGGCCGAACACTGCATTACCCACGCTGAGGAATGTACTTATAATTATCATTCCCAGAAAGTAAGGGAAACGAAATGCAGGATTTGTCCACTAGCATCCTGAACCGTGAACCCTACCGGACTCAGCTGGTGCTCACGATCTAATGACGTCATTACAAGAGGCCACACACGTGCCTTGAGACGGACGAACAAAGGAGGACCGGGACCTCTGATTCATGGTGTGAACCTTAAACCCTAAACCTTAAACCACTAAAACCCTAAACCCTGGGGCCTTTGGGTAGACCAGAATTTCAGGCCCTTTGTTCTGCCTTTTCCCTAAGGCTTCATGTGCCCATATAGTAGGTACCTAGGCCTTAAAGTATCTATATAGGGACCCCTTTAAGGCCTAGGCACCTACTATATGGGTACAAGGAGCCTTTGGGTGTGGTGCTGGCATACGGAATCGAAAACATGTCACTTACTTGTCGCATCTCGTTGGGGAACTAACGGCTAATCCTAACTGAGGGTTATATAGGGTTTTGATACCTCCAAAAACGTACAGGTTACACAGTCTACTACTGAGGTTAAAGAGGTTGCAGGATGGCGTTACGGGTTTGGTCAACCGTGTCTGCCAGGTCTCTGATCGCCTTACGTCTTTCGGTACCGTTGATTCTGTCCCTTTCGAGGTTAACCCTTTGGCATACACGGTTCCCTGTTGAGGTGCAGAAACCTCCATCCGAAACCAGCCATCAGTAAATCCAACAAACCGTACTTTGCATACCCAAAAAAACTTGCAATGAACTCCCAATCTAAGTAAACTTATGCTGTAATCCAACAAAGCCAACAAAAGCGACCCGATTCAGTCCCTCGGGACATACCAAAAATCACCAGCCAAAAGAAATCCGAAATCCAACTCAGTAAACCTCCGATTCGAAACGCCTGAATTCGAAGCCGCAAGAAAAAACTCGAAACTTCTTGCCTGCTTCAGCGCACTGTCAAGTCGAAGGCGTAAAGCCTGCGGGAGCACAGTTTAGGGTCTGGGTTCTTGGTCCTTAACTTTAGGTTTACTATACTGAACTTAGAACCCTAGCAAAAATTAGAATTTTAGCTGTTCCTTAGGGATTATAATAGCCAAAAATCAATATTTATTTCTGAGTAACCCTAAGTTAAGATTCTTGGTTTAGGGTAGAGGCTGCAACGGACACGCCAGCAATACAGACCTGTCACTGCAAAACATGATGATAAGGCGAAGACAACTCCTAAGCGTCCAGTGTCACCTCTTCTTCCTCCGCCACCTATTTAGCGTAATTACCGCCCTGAGAACACCCTCCCCCATCGTAACTTTGGGTCTCAGAACGCCTGCATGTTGAGGTCCCCCGAAGTGTTAGGACCCTTAGGGTAGGGCCCGAAAACAGCAACTACACACAAACACAAGCTGTTGGAGCGAATATCCCTGTTTCAATGCTTTCGGTTTCAATGTCTTGTCCCCGAACTAGACCCTAAACCCTTAAGCCGTAGATCCTTAGACCCTAAACCCTAAACACCTAAACCGTAATTTCTAAACCCTACTACTCCGGGCCTCCGGGAGGCGCGGCAGCTCCTTCTCCAAGGCATCACACGCTGCCTCCACAGGACGCAGACATAACTTCACCGACAGAACACTGATGCCGATAGTAGCACAACACCACCACCACGACGACGACTACTACTGCTACTCACAATACTAATGCTAGTACTAATACCTAGACTAATTCGAACAAGCACAACACTGATAATGACTCCAGGAATTCAGTTTCAATGAGGAATCAGGGATCCCAGTTAAGAACCAAGCGAGTAAATTGTGTCAGTACAGTATAGCCATATACCCTACCATCCTGAGGACACGCACCTTCCTCACCGTGACTGTTGGTACTTTAGGATTTAGAGTTCAGGGGGTTTAGGGTTCAGGGATGACACTTGCATGCTACTTCCTGTTATTTGTGACGTTTTGAAGCAATCTCCTTGACAAGAGACCCCAGCCCAGGGATCCCAATACCCCTTAATTAAGGAATATACCTTGAATCATATTAAGGATCCTACTATAATTTCAGGTATATTCCTTAATCAAGGAATATACGTTCAATCATATTAGGGATCCTACTATAATTTCAGGTATATTCCTTAATTAAGGGGTATTGGAGTCCCTTAAACCCTAAGCCCTATAGATCCCTTTAAGGAACCCTTGGTATCCCCTATAGATCCCTTAAAGGAAACCCTAGGTATCCCTTAATTAAGGGGTATTGGGATCCCTGGGAGCATGCCTCGAAGACACGCTGGTTGTAGGCGTTCAGCTCTCCCAAGGTGGCGATGGTGGTGATGACTTCGGCCGCGCCTCGAGTTTAGGGCTTAGAGTTTAGGGCTTAGGGTTTAAGGTTTAGGGTTTAGAGTTTAGGGTTCAGGATTTAGAGTTTAGGGTTTAGGGCTTAGGGCTTAGAGTTTAGGGTTTAGGGCTTAGAGTTTACCCTAAGGGTCCAGGTATCTCTTTAGGAGGGTCCGGAATCTCCTAGAGAGAGCCCTTGGGTCTCTTTAAGGTCTCAGAACTCCTACATTTTGAGGTTCCCCGAAGTGTTAGGACCCTTGGTTGAGGGTTTCAGCTGCAGGGTGGAAGCTTTAGAGTTTATATGGCTAGTTGTCAAAATTACGGTCTCTCTTTTGGGTACCCTAAATCATAGGTGCCGTACTATAATAGGGACCCAAAAAGGACCATAATTTTGACAACCACGCACATAGATCCCATATAGATCCCTTTAAGGAACCCGTAAACCCTATATAGATCCCTTAAAGGAACCCTATAGAGCCCTTATAGATCCTTTTAAGGGAACCCTATCCCTAATTTTGACAAGCACGCATATAGGGGGCCGGTCTGAAGAGCTCAGGGGTTTCAGCCCGTAAGAGATATGCAGCGTCTATAGGTATCGCAACCGTGGATATGCAACTTAAGGGATCTATAGGGGTCCCCTTCAGGGCTCTTAAGAGAACAAGGATTCTGACACCGTCACAACCCAGGAAGGAAGTTGTGGGGAATGAGCTCTGCCCCTGACACTTGAACCACAACTGAAGCCTGCCCCCGACAACAACGCCTCAACAACTCCCAAACCTAACGTCTATCAGAGCCCAACCCCACGAGTCCCGACAAAATCTTACCCCCTCTCACCTCTAAGCCCACCTCATCTTAGCTCTAGGTTTAGGCGCCACAGCCCACGAAGACATTGCATCTCTCTACAGACTCCCAGGCTCCAGACATAAAACGAGGCTTCATGCTGCTGGATAGCCTAAATCATGTTTCGCTATAGGGATCTAAGGACTCATATATTGCGGCTTCTAGGCCCAGAGACCATACTATACAAGGCTTTTGGGCTATTTGGATCCCTGCATTTTAGGTTCGCCATGTCAAGCCAGGCACTGAGCGACCGCCGATCGAACCTGGGCACTGTCCACAGTCGCTCAGATGCTTCTGTTGGGATCCCTAAAACCCTTAGCCCCCCTAAACCCTAATCATGCGACTGCCGCTGAGGCTACTGTAGACCTCTGATTAACGCACCATCCTTCGTCAAGGACCTGGAATCTCCGACCTCTACTACTATGCAAGCCGAGTCTGCATTATCATTATCCTCATTACCCCACCCCAACTGTGCAGGAGCCCAGACGCATGACGCAAGCCGTAAGAAACCCTCAGAGTCGGAGTCGTAAGCTCTTCTACGAGAAAACAAGTAATGCTGCATTGGTCGGGTACGACTTCGTGGATTCAGAAATCGACCAGGCGGTCAGGGTAACAAGAGATTCTTCTGGCGGTTTAAGGTAAGTTGCGCGGCAGCGGGCTTGTGAGCTTTCCAAGGAGCAGTTGAGGTGTGGGTTCAGCATTCCTTCGGCTGCGCCCAACAAGGCTCAAAAAAGTTAAGGACCTGTTGAGCATAAGTAAAATGTACAGCCTCAGAACGCTTAAGGTCCTCTAAACTGCGTAGAAACCCAGAAGGTCCATGTACCATTATGGAATGATGTCCCGCCTAATCATGAATTCCATAATGGTGGTATAATAAAATATATGGACCCTGTTGGAAAGCACCAGCCGTGCGTCAAAACTTGCTGGGAGCCCGGCGCGCGACGCAGCTCCGCCGCAAGGACTTCGAACAAGCCACCTGATTAGGTTCCCAGGCGAGCTTAGGTGCCTCTTGTAGTACAGTTATTGGGTAAACAACTCTAAGGAATAATATCGTTAACTCTTCCAGCCTGCATATATTGGCGAAAAGGGTCCAAGCACCCTAATATTCATTCAACTACTCCCTCAGGTCTGGGCTTCGGAGCCTACAAGGTGCTTTCATACCACCGCAGTATCAAGGAACAATATTGCGCTGTTGATTTAAGGTGATCGTTTTGTTGATTGAACATATTTTTGATAGGTATGGTAAGGGTTTGCGGTGGGTTTTGTTGTTGCGTGTAATCCGGACCTTTTAAGTTTGGTGTACTGTAATCTCTCGGCCTGATTTGTCAAATTGAGTCTGAGCCCCGCCGAAATGCTTGGGCCACTGATGGCTTGGAACACAGCGAAGCCAGGCTTCCGCGAAAGTGATCTCCACTTTGCTTTCAACTGGACTGAACATGTAAGGAGATATGCCACCGCCTTGACCCTGATACCCTCCCCGCTAAACCCCCCCCTTCCGCCAAACACAAAGCTGCCAAACTCAGCTTGCCACCATCAAAGAACTTCGATCGCTGGAGCGCGGATACAACCTGGATGCTGGAACGTTTTACAATTAAGGCTTAAGATTTAAGGATCAGGCGTTAGGGTCTAGGAAGTCTAGGGTAAAGGGTCTTGGGTATACGGACTACGGATCAGGGACTAAATAAGGGTCAAAGGATTAGTGATTAGGGTTCAAGGATTAGGGATTAGGGTCGATAATGGGTTTCAGGTTTAAGCACTGGAGACTAGGGCCTGGGTCTAAGGACTAAAGGGTTTAGGATGGCGCAAGGTAAATTAGCTTGACATGGGAGCCGTGATGATTCGAAAAGGATTTTGGGGTCCTTTATAGTATCCTAGTATCCAATAAGGAGCCCTGAGGAATAGATTGATGACCATGCAGACCCTCAGATCACGCACAAGTTGATCAGCAATCATGATACTCTCTCCAAGCCCATGGTCAAAAAAGGATTATCGATCACAGGTTGGCTTCAAAATGATACTGTGCTCACACATCCCTGAGATGTGCAAGAATCGTTGGCACTCAACGGGCACAACCATGCTGATAGACAAAACAGCGGACTACCTGAACTAGCCTGGACTACTGGAACTCGAAGACATTCGTTCATAGTTATGGGGGTTTCCGAGCATAGGGACCCTAATATGGAAACCTAAACAGTAGGGTCCTTATTACCATAAGGACCCCAAAATGCGGTACCCCTACCCGTATCTTAAACCCTGTAGAGAAACCCTTATAGATCCCTTTAGAGGAACCCTTGTAGATCCCTTTATAAGAACCCTTATAGATCCCTTTAAAAGGAGCCCTTATTGGAAAATGCAGGACCCTGCTCTTCAATCTCCGGAGCCTACAGTAGAAGCCAGAATGTTAGAACATCATTCAGTAAACAACACAGAATAAGCTCCTTCAAAAAACAGGGCTCCTTTAAAGAGTTCCTTTAAAGGGGTCTAGAATAACGGATCCTTTATAGAGTTCTATAACAATGTAGGGGCCTCGCAGTAAACCCCATAAAGCTGGAAACCGAGCTAAGGCCAAATAGTGCTGGGGTTCCCTAGACATTACTCTTAGGCATTGAGGCTATTGGGTTTCCAACTTTTTGGCCCTAGTGTAAGGTAAAGTAGAGGGAATCCCAGCACTATTCATCCTAAATTTATGTTCCACCTTTCTGGGGTTCACTATAGTACGCAACCGCAGCCAGTCGAAGGAAAGATGCGAAGACACCTGGCCTCTATCCGATATAGAGCCACTTGGGGGTTTCCGAAAATGAGGGGTACCGTAGTTTGGGGTCCTTATGATAAGGATCCTACTATTTAGGGTATTATATTAGGGTCCCCTACTTTCGGAGACTGCCATTTAGCAACTTGTGAACGCGACCTTAGCCCTACAAAACACCCCGAGCATCCTACCTGTTGAGGGTTCCAAGTTCTTTCTTATGATTTCCCTTGATCATACTCAAAACAAGCGATCGACCCTCATACACAAGTCTTATTCAACGGCCTTATGATGGGATCCCTGTTGCAAGATTTCTGGCAGGGTTCTTATTCATAAAGGGCTTGCATTCCCCGGCGAGGAGTGTGAGGTCACATCTCAGTTCCATGATGCCGAACACCAAGCAGCTCAACAAAATTCCACAGTCCTTTAATCATATGACATAACCTTGATCTCCGAACACTAAATTCCAAACCCAAGCTTTAACTCTAACGTCTGAACCCCAAAACCCTAGCTTCCTAGAGCTCCTAAATCCAGGCCGGTGGCTTCGCAAAGCTCCCTGCTGCGCAGCTGACCATGCTTCAGTCGCTTCTCCAGGGAGGGCCTTGGGCTTCAGGTTTACTTACCTTTCGTTAGTAGGGAATGGAAGAATGGTAGCAATAGTAGTTGTAATTGTACCCCATTCCTCCATTCCCTACTAACCAACGGAAAGTTTAGGGCTTAGGGGTTTAGGCTTTAGGGTTTAGGGGCTTAGGGTTTAGGGTCAACCTAGACCCCAGAAAACCCTACTTTGTTTAGGTTCCTCATTGTGATTTTACGTCCTTAAAGCGGTGAACTATTGGGGATTATAAAGTATGGTAGTAGGCTTCAGGGTTTTGGGGTTGAGGGAGGGTTCGGGGCTAAGCGTGTAGGGTGCGGGCAGTTCTGGTGCTTGTAATCTATAAGGGTTCCTTAAAAGGGATCTATGGAGCCTCTGGGAAGTAAGGTCACAATCGAACCCGAAACTGAGGGAAAGTAGATCTTTTTCCGGGGGTCTGGGCTTATGGGGGCCCTAATATCCCTCTATTCGTACTTGGACTCTTTCAGCCAACGAGACTCGCGCGTCCACCGCGTCGGCCACAGGGCCCTCTTGCAAGAGCTGCACCTCGCGCTTCGAGAAAGGTTTGTACAGTACAAATTGTACCAAATGGTCGACTGTCGACTGCACCAAAATGGAACGCCATCTGGGATGTGTGAGTGCCACGGGTTCTCCGTCGGGCGTAAGATACATACGCCCTTCAACGAAGACGAAGCATTTCCTGAACTCCGTGAGTTCGTCCTTGATGGACGGATAAACCGGCGAGCGAATCCCGATCTGCACCAGCTCGGGACCGGAAAACAAAGACACCCCGTCACCGAGAACGATGAGTCTCTTAATGCGACGGACGCAAGCTTCCTCCAAGTCAGGTTTTAATAAGATTTCTACTCCAGACTGGGGCCTTTAACTATGACAGCAGGATGCGGAACCCTTACAGCTAGCGAAATTCTCAAGTCCGAATCCATAGGGACCCTTAGCGGGGTAGGGGGAGGGGTGTAGGGGACTATACTTCCTTAAATAGGCCTTTATTAAGTGCTTATTACAACTATTAAGCCTACACAGCCCTAAACCCTAAACCCTACAGTGCCTAAACCCAAAGCCCCAAACCCTGAACCGCAAACCTAAACCCTTAACCCTCTAATACCTACACCCAAAGCCAAAAACACTAACCCCTACGCCTTAACCCGCTAAACCCCCCAAACCCGATAGTACCGCAACAAAAGGCCCCAAACCCTGAACCAAAACCCCGTGCCCTAGGGTCCTTAATAGTGGGTATTTAGAGTACGGCAGCTGGGGGGTCTAAGTAAGGTTCAGGGTTTGGGGCTTTGGGTTTACGTACTTTAAAAAGGTTTAGGGGTTCAGGGATTGGGGCTTTGGGGCTCCATTAAAGTACCATTGAGAGGTCCTGGTAAAGTACCTAAAACCCAAAGCCCCAAACCCTAAACCTCCCAGGTCGCTGGCGCCAGCCGGGCCATCTGACCGAGCGACTGCACCTCACGGGACTTCGTTGGCTTTGGGGCCCGACGGTTGAGGATATACATCCTGCATTACCCATAGTGAGGAGTATACCATAATTCCCATAGTTTAGGGTCCTTAAGGTAATGCAGGATTTCTTTCATCAGCCCTAGGAGCTGTTTAGGGCTTATAGGGTCTAGGCTTTGGATTAGGGTTCAAAGCTTATAGGCTTTAGGGCTTGGATTAGGGTTCAGGGTTTAGGGCTTATAGGGTTTAGAGGGTTTAGGGTCCCGGGAAGTCAATACACCGATACAGCAGGGGCTCAGGAATCCTTGGGTGCCTTATATATGAAGGGTTTGGGGTTTAGGGTTTAGGGGTTAAGTTGTTTGTTTTTTTTCAAGGCTTCCTTTTGCACTGAGGGTCCATGCGCCCAGAAGACGTACTAGGTATGAACCCGCTGATGCCGTGAGATGCCCTTAGTACATATTATGTAGGTTTACAAACCCTTAAGCAGGCCTTTTGAGGGTTTCGGCAGCTTTATTTTGGACTTTTCTGCTTTTTTTCATAAGGGAAGGGTTTATTGGCAAACCCCTGTGCGCAGCTCATGCCACAAGGAAGCTGGAGTGAATTACGACTAAAATTACGGTTGACTGTCAGGTTCGGGTTTGGAGTTTAGAGTTTGAGGTTCATCCATCACAGTGTCAAGCAGCCACACCAAAACCACAACTCATCATACAGAAATGTGCATTGACATGTTACAAGGTCGCAGCAACAACCTGCCAAGCCAGGAAATTCACAAACACAGCAAAGCCTGCCAACAAAAATTCTCAAGCCCTGGCCATGTAACCAAGGATGGGCAGCTCCTCGGAATCCTTCTCGCCATCGTGGTACATCAAGCACGTGCCTCGTCCCTCCGGCTGGACCTGCCCTGCTCTGCCCGATCCAGACGCTTTTTGCTCTGCCAGGAGCAAATGCCCACCATGTACTTCGTGTAGAGCATTCGCAAAGCCGTCCATGCACGCGGGCCACGACGCGTGAGCAAACGTCCTGGCAGATCCTCAATGGTATAGAATACGGGCCCATCTCCAGGCCGACCGAAACTGTGGACCTTATCCTCCACTCTGTGCTTGCAGGTCCATGTGAATGTAAACCCAACAAACTTCTCCATGGAATCAGAGTCAAGTAGTCCACCTGCTTTCGAAGCTTTGGAATCTTGCAAGGATGATGGCAGGAGGTGTGCCGGTGTCCCCGACTCAGAGGGCTAAAGAACCCTGTTCAGCTTTGGGTAAGAAGCCCAGACCCCCGGGAGGATCTAGAAAGTAGGATCCCCGAATTTGGGGCCCTATACTACTAAGGGTACCTTGTAGGAACCCCCATTAAGGTATCTACCCTAAACCCTAAACCGTAAAACCCTATAGATCCCTTAAAGGGACCCTTAAAGGAACCCTTAAAAGGAACCCCCATTAAGGGATCGACTTTTTGGACCCTTCCGGGGGTCTGGGAAAAGAAGAGGAATCTTTTCGAGCACTCTGCTTGGATGCAAGGTGAGCTTCGCACAGCACTGAAAAGTCATAGGGATGAAAACGTCAAGGATCGTCCTACCAGATTTCATTCTTCCTAGATTCTAGATATCAACACTTTAGAAGAAACAGTGTCTGTAACTGCACTCCTTATTAATGCTGAAACTCGTGCCAGCAATCCTTCAACAATTAGACCTCCACCCCGCAAAACCCATGAAACCTATTTCCTGACCTTTACCATTCAGCCCTACACACCAAAGCAAATACAACAACCGCATCGAACCCTTACGTCCCCCATGAAGGAGCCCTACAGTCAACCTTACTAGAGCACCCCTACAGTACCCCTTAAACCCATCGAACCACCCTTTGCCGCCTCTTCCAAGCGGACCGGTCGCTCCTGCTGCAACGGTGGAGGAGGCAACATGGCGAGTTAATTCGCCCCGCCAGAGGTTCAGGGCTTGGGGTTTTAAGGTTTTTAGGGTTTGTAGGGCTGTTCAAAGGGTTTAGAGTTTAAGGGTTTGGGGTTTTAAGGCTTAGGGTTTTGTTTGGGCTACAAGTTTTCAGGTTTTCTTCTTCCCAGCGTACCAGGTTAGGTTTTAGGGTCAGGTTCAGGGATCTTAAACGCGTTCAGTTTTTGGGGCGACCGTTTGAACCCTTCTGAACCCGAAAGGCCTAAACCCTAGACAAAAAAGACAGCTGAACCCGTATGGACTCACTTCTAGGATGCCCAGTAACCTAGGAATAAAAGGGATCTCTTGTTGGTATTGGTAACTCTATATGGAACCTAGGACCTAGGACTACAAAAATGGAATAAGGGTACTGTTGAATCTAGACTTCAACGCGAAGCCGAAAGTCCCCAAACTCGACCCCTAATCGCTAATCCGCGAACCTGGAGCCTCCCCTATGTAAGTCCTAAACCCTAAACTTCCCTCATAAAGGGGCCTCAAGTAGGGTTTGGGGCTCCTGTATAGTATATCTAGACTAAGAACCATAAGGAAATTAGGCTCCTGTAGGCTGCTACAGTCCAGGCGCCTCACTTTTGGAAGAGGCCGGAGACGACGGAGATGCCTTCTTGTCCTGGCCGACCGTCTGTTGGGGGGTTTGGTGACTTGCTTTTTATTTCTTCTGGCATTTGGGGTTCTGTTTTGAAGGCTTTCGGGCTGCAAAGTTTAAGGCTTTGGTTGCTGGTCAACCGCGGTGTTTCCACTTCACCCAAAGCCCGGATCCTAGACTCTCTTCGTGATTCTGATGAAGTCTCCAAACGTCACACACTCCAGCACAAGGTTTGGTTTTCGAGACCTCCTATACCCGACTATACCCCAAAACCCCTCCACCCCTGAACCCCTAAATCCCAACCCCTAAACCCCGAAACCCCAAACTCCGAGACCCCAAACCCCAAAGCCCACCCTAAGAGCCACTAAACCAAAAGCTAAACAACAAGCTCCCACGCTGAATTTCAAATCCTAGCCCCGACACCTCAAGCACAAAGCCCCAAAACCCAAATCCGACCCTCCCCCTCGTATGTAAGCCCTTAAACCTGAATCCCAACCCCCCCCCCCCCCCCCCAACCCTAAACCCAATCTTAAGGACCCCGAACCAAAACCCCCAAACCCTAAACCCTAAATCCCGAACCCTGAACCCAAAACCCTAAATCCTAAATCCTAAACCCTAATCCTAAACCCTAAACCCTAAAACCCTGATTCTAAACCCTAAACCCTGAACCCTAAACCCTAAACTCTGAACCCTAAACCCCAAACCCTGAACCCCAAACCCTATACCCTGAACCCTACACCCCAAACCCTGAATCCCAAGCCCAAACCGAAGCTCGCCTTGTGGGACTCCTCGTCGGAGTCCATCCAGGCGAACTCCTGGATCATTCTGTTCACCCTAAGGGGTCCTAACACTTCGGGGAACCTCAAAATGTAGGAGTTCCGAGACCCCAAAGGCTATACTGAACTTAGAACCCTAGCAAAAATTACAATTTCAACTGTTTCTTAGGGATTAAAATAGCTAAAAACTAAAAATTATTTCTAAGTACCCCTAAGAAGAGACCCAAGGCCGCTCTCTAGGAGATTCCGGGCCCTCCTAAAGAGAGACCTGCACCCTTACTTAGAGGCCCAGGGGACTTAGTAAGTAGGGTATAAGTAGGGTTATAATTGGGGTAACTCCATTTAGGGTAATTACTTATAACCCTACTTAGAACCTAGGTTAAGGGGATTAGGGTTTGGCTTGGGATTCTGGGGGTTCTGCCAGGGTTCGATAAGGGATTTGGATGGTTTAGGGCTCATATTTCGTAAGGGGCGTTTAAGGCTTCTTATCACCATCCAGGCTTTACTTATGATAGGGATTTGAGGCGTTCCTTCTTCACAAGGCGCAGGTATCTGGGGCATGGGCCTTAAACCCCTGGGCCACAACCTTATGCCCTAAACCCGAAACCTTAAACTCTGTAGTTTAGGGGCTTAGAAGTTTAGGGTTAAGGAGCTTAGGCTTTCGGGGCTTAAATTTAGGGAAGGGTTTAGGGTACAGGGCTTCGGCGCTTCGGTGCAGACTTAAGGGCGTCCGGCTGTTTAGACAGATGCTGTCCTCCATCATGGGGCTTCTGGCTGCTTAGCGAATGTATCCCTAAACCCTAATTACTAAACCCTAAACCCCTAAAACCCTAAGCCCTAAAACCCTAAACCCTAAACCCCTAAACCCTAAAACCCTAAACTGAATGCTTTGGAGGACTCAAGGCTGGCATCGCGCACACGACGATGGGCTTAGACCGTATGACGCAAACCACGTACCCAGAGAACCCAAGGGTCCCCTTAATTTAGGAATACCTAGGAATCCCAATACCCCTGAATCAAAAAACCTACCTTAAATTCTAGAGGCCTTGATATTATTATTAAAGGTATATTCCTTAATTAAGGGGTATTGGGATTTCTGGGTAGTACACACAGCCTGATAGCCAAAGCTTTCGGCTGACCGGCCAACCCTAAAACATTAAATCCTGCAACCCCCAACACTGCAATCAATCCTACAAACATTGCAACTTTCAACAAAGAATTCCTTTCGTCTTCCGCAGTATCATTCCTCAAGTCCGTCTGAAAGTTCTTGGATAGAATTCCTTCAACGTCATGGACGCGCCTTCTCCTTTTTGTCCTCCTTTCCCTTCTTCTCCTTCCGCTTCTCGTTGCCTGCGCGGGACCCCTGCAGCTGCAAACATACATAGTGCGTAAAACCTAAGGCCTATTCTAAATGCTGAGGCCCCAAAGCTCGAAACTACGTAAACTCCTTCAACCCTATGAAGCCTAACTTCGACCTGACCTTGCAGCCAGAGACATGTCAACAACCCACCGAAAGAGCTGGTAACGACAGGCCGTGGTCAGGATCCCTTACAGTGCACGCTGAAGCTAAGCCCATGCCGAAGCGAAGGCAGGAGCCAGAGAACAAACGTGTCAATGCATGCCAAGCAAACCCAAAGGCTCCATGTGCCCATATAGTAGGTGCTGAGGCCTTAAAGGGGTCCCTAGAGA